TGGCGGCCGGGACCGTTGGGGGTGGGGTGTGTGGCCTTATGACACACAATGTGGCCTTATGACACACTTCTGGTGATGTCAGGGTGTGTGGCATATGCTAATGAGTTATGCTAATGAGTTCTTCTAGCTCTTTTTCTACAAAACAACCCCTGTGGAAGGGAGAAATGCCAATGCTGAAGAAATCAGTCAAATCAAGACCATGAGCAAATGCTCTAGTCAGCTAGCAAAACCCAAACTCAAAAACAAAATGGATTTCTTTGGGGATGGTAGTTTTGTTTCATTAAGGCTGCGTTCACATGAGCAGTTTGGTCCAATATCATTGCAGTACCCTTGCAGATTTAAAGAGCACAAGCAGACAGCAACATCTGCCTTCCATGCCCCAGTCATCACCACCCCGTTCTGCCCCATTTTTGAAGTGGAGTAAACAGACACTGGGGAAAGTCCAGTACTTTCACCCTGCCAGCACTTTCACCCTGCATTTCCAGCTGTCTGAACTCCCCTGTTGCGAAGTCAAGCCATTTGGGAAGGCTGAACCTTCTTTCCATTTCTGCCTCCTTTGTGTTTTTTAGAAATTAGGTAACTATGTGTGCATAAGCATATAATCGCCCCTGGCATTGTCAGTCACTGAGGCCAAGTAGTCATTCTGGATTGGGAGTCCCAGGGGGAGGGTTTTTTTGAGCAACAAATCCCCTCCCCAAAAAACCCTTTCTCCTGTCTCCACATCAGAGTTGCTGTTTGAGAGTATCCCATGTTTGACACAAGGGTAAATGTACTGACGTCAATGGGACTACTCTCATATAAATCTGCACACTCCCTCCCCCATGTATTCCAAGAAAGAGAGGTGAAGGGAAGGAGGCGGAGAGGGGCCAGAGTACTTGGCAGAGGGGTTATGGAGCTGTCAAAAAGGAGCTGGAACTTCGAATACATGCTTATGTATCTGGGCAAATGACAAAAAAAAAAAAAGGATGCCACAACCATCTGAACGATCGACCATGGGGCGAGCACATGGTGAAGCCAGCTCAGTGTGGGATGTCTGATCAAAACATCCAATTACAAAATAAAATGGTGTAATTAGAGGCATCGCCAGATCGCACCAAGCCTGTAGTGTGACCACAGCCCATGAATCCCAGATTTCTAATACCATTCTGGAAAATCATGGTGATGACCCAATAAATGGTATAGTTCCATGTATATCTTCAGCTTGGATATTTTGTTATGTGCACGCCAACTTGAAACTTTAACAATGCTAAATTAAAATTTCACAAAGAGGAATTGTTGCTTCTTGTACAGCCAAAATTAGTTCAAGAATAATTTGTGCTTTGTCTTACACTTTTGGAGTATAAGGAATCCCAATCTGTTTAACACTATGAGGCTTTTTTGGTTTTGTTAACAATTACAGAAAATAACACTACATGAAAAAACTATACCATTTTGATTTCAGTGTCTTGTAGGTCTTTCAGTACTTTTGAATGGCCTCAGTCTATTAAAGCCCAACTTATTTTCCAAGTATATAGCAAATTCATACCAAGAGGAGGCTCAAGAAGTACTGAGTATAGCTTTATAAAAGTGCCTTTGATGCAATGAATTCTACCATTCTAGACTTAATACAATAATATTCCACTCAGTTGACATAAATGCTATAAGAATGTAAGAATATCCATACTGATATCAGCATAATTCTTCTAGACAAGTATCCTGTCTCAGATACAAACAATAACTGAATGTTGATTGAATGTGTACAAAAACCCAGAACAGTAATGGAATAATCTGTCCCCGATTGTTCTTTCCAGCTTCTAATGATTTGGGATATGAAAGACATATTCTGTCCTATAATGTAGTGGATGTTAAAAATATTGTTGCCTAATGCTTTTTTCCAATGCAGTTTTAACACAGGTCAGAAACTAAGGGACACACCACATTTTACATGTATACGTAAGACTGTAACATGCATATAATAAACTTATTTACCATACTACATTTTACATGTATACGTAAGACTGTAATATGCATATAATAAATTTATTTACCATTTACCTAGATAGCTAACCCAATTCCATCAGATTTTGGAAGCTAAGCAGGGTTGGCCCTGGCTAGTATTTGGATAGGAGACCTCCAAGGAATACCAGAGTTGCAACACAGAGACAAGCAATGGCAAACCACCGCTGAATGTCTCTTTCCTTGAAAACTCCACATGGTCACCATAAGTCAGCTGTGAGTTGAAGGCAAAAAACAACAAACCATCATTTAAAGTGCCACAAAAATAAAATCTATTTCCTTTACCTGTAAATAACCATGTTTGGCCACTAAATTAGATCTTTCCTGGCTTTGGTAAACTGTGTCATCAGTTGGCTGATAACACATATTTCTTCATTTCTTTAAATCAGCCTCTCAGAGTAGCCATTTCCATCCTGGACTAGCGCCCTGGGCTCTGTGGTCGTGGCTGAAGGAACAAACTAAAAATGAATCCAGGTAAAACATGGTTGCACTTACCCGTAACTGATGTTCATCGAGTGTCTTCTGTGCTGGCACACATGTGACTGCCTGAAGGCAGGCCTGCCGCGGAAGAACATTCCAAGAGCTTCCTCAATATTCTAGAGTATTGAGTCCCCTCTCCCCTCGGAGAGAATTGTGAAATGAGCCATTTCCCACCCATTTGGTCACATGATGAGGGGAGGGGGAGGCACCTCTCTCAGTCCTATCCTGCCGCCGTGGAGAAGTAGATTAATCGTCCACAGCGGGGAAGGAGGAAGGGATGTGTGCCAGCACAG